TACAGGACTTCTGTAAGTCGTCCCAGCCTCTGATTTGAGGAAAAAATAGATCAATGAGATGCTACATTTAGGCGTTTATTTACAGACATAAGATCATAAACAATTTCACGTAAATAAATGTATCCCAGACAATTTCGAATTGATTAGATTTTGCAGGTTTCTGGATATTTACAAGTAAATAAATGAGCTTAAGCTTCTTTTGAGCGTCGTGTTTTTAGCTACACAGACCATCATTAGAATGGATTTAATCTTTTCATACGTAATGTAATCAACATTGGATAAACCAATTCCAGAGGATATTCGAAAATCGGTTCAACATATCACAAAATAAGCTCAGTCGTAATTCTCGGGGATTATAACACTTCTTTCTAACCCATAACTGGATCACAGCCATTATATTTCCGATTTCCTTAGATTTCACGTAAAGTGTTTATCAAACCATACGAGGCATAACGAGTCGTCGGCGCTGGATTAATCAAATCACAAGTATAAACTGAAGTTCGGTATTTTAAGAGTCAAATATCCATGTTCACCAGATTACTGATCGTCAACTACTGGTTCATGAAACATTCCAATTTTTCTTAGTTTTTTTTCAAACTTAATCACGTTTGCCTTGTCACCAGTTCACCCTCAGCGGTTGAAGAAGGCTTACAGACAGGCCATGCAATTTTAAAACATGGCTTTTGTCATCAAATTGAGGAACGACAGGAACATTGTTGACCAGAACTTGGTTTGGCATCTTGGTGACACCAAATATTGTGATTCCATCCAGTTTCATTTCCGAAAGCATGTCATAGTTATCAACCAAAACTGTGCTCTCGAGAATCTTTCCTGCCACAGAGAAAGTCACCAGACTGTATTTCTCCTTCTCCACAGAATCTAAAGACTTGCCATCGTCCCAGTACACTTCCCCTTTGGCAGAACCGTCATTTGCTAGTGCAACGATCAGCGAGAAGCTCTGAATCCGGAGAGCTGTAGTCGTTGTGGAAGCTGGTTTGGTGGGTAGTATTGACCCTCCTCGAACGTGCAGGTTGATCTTTGACAAGGGGGCATCAAGTAGAACGCTCTCACCGACGGTAGACAGACGAGAACCGTTGTAGAAGTCGTACCATACGTCAGAAGGGAAGTAAGCTGACACAGACGTAGCCCCTTCTTCAAGGACGGGGGATATGAGGAGGGATGTGCCCCACAAGAACTGTTTGTCGACTTCTGAAGCTTCTCCTGGGTACTGGAAAAATAACGGTCTGACAACTGGCGTTCCCTGAATGTGGTTCCTAAAGAACAGACTGTAAAGATAGGGCAGAAGGAGGTACCTCGTCTGAAGAACTGACCTCATGTAACCCTGGGTCACTGAATCAAATGCTCCTGGATCTTGGTCCCCCTGTCCTAAGGCATCGTGGTTCCTCATGAAGGGGTAAAATGCTCCAACCTGCATCCATCGGGTGCAGAGTTCTGGTGTTGTACCTCCACCGAATCCACAAATATCAGCTCCAACAAACGGAATCCCAAACATCTGGAAGTTGATAATACCAGGAATGGAATAATACAAGTCTGGCCACCCCGATGTGTTATCGCCAAGCCAGTGTCCTCCATATCGTCCAGAGCTTGGAAAGGTGGAGCGAGATATCACGATGCTTCTCTCGGACTTGAGCTGGTTTAGGACACCCATTGATGCTCTCACTTCACTGAATCCGTACAGGCTGTGGACATTGTAATGGGATGAGATATGATGTTGTGCCGAGGGACAGAGGGTCCTTGAAAATAGTGAAGATCCGTCTATAACCGGGGGGATAAAAGGAGGTTTGTCCAGGGAGTTGTTTGTACATCCTGATATTGATCCGTCTGCAAAGTTTGAAGGTTCATTCATGTCTGTCCAAAGACCATCAAACGACACTACATCGTGATACCTCTTCGCCTGTCTATACCACCAGTCTGAGGCATTTGGGTTAAAGAAGTCGGGGAACACGGTTTGTCCTGGCCATACCTTACCTTGCAAAATGCTACCATTGTATGCTTTAACGAAGATGTCATCCTCCACGCCTTCATCATAGGGAGGGTAACTGCCAGGTGTCTGAACACTGCTAATACCGGGGTCCACTATGATGACGTACTTTTGGTTATTCCGATGCAAATCATCGACTATGTCCGGCAATCCTGCATATGTTTTGTTGTCATACGTCCAATCTAGATGAGATGACATGTAGTCTATATCGTTCCATTGCACATCATAGGGAATATTTGCTGCTCGGTTCCTGTCAATGACCTTTTTCAGGTCAGTTGAAGACATGTAGCCCCACTTGCACAAATGGAACCCGAAGGACCAAAATGGTGGGAAGAAGGGTTTCCCGATAAGATTGACGTACTGTCTGACAACTGCGTCTGGCGTCGGTCCGAGGAAGACATAGAAGTCCAGTATGCCCCCTATACTCCTATAGGTGAGTGCAGATGATCCGTAGGAGGGCTGAAGGTCCACCTCCATGGCGTTGCTGTTTAATAGGAATACACCATGAGCATTATTCTTTCCATCCAGGTTCATGAAAAACGGATGAGAGCCATAGAGATTCTCGTCGAGTGTTGGTGGTTGATCCCTAGCCCAAAAGACGATCTTTGTCCACTCTGTATCCAGTTTCAGGCTTGACCGATGCTCACCTAACCCATAGACATTGCTTGTAGCCAGCTTGGTTCCGATCTGGATAAACTGATCAGAGAATATCAGCGGAGACACTCCCGAAGAGTCGAATATGATCTCCCCTGTCGAGTTCCTTCTGATTGTGATAGCAAACTGTTCAACTGTTAAACTGACCTTATAGTCCGGGTTGCTAGCCATCTCTGTCCCTTTTTGGAGATCGATAGGAACCTCATATCTCTGACTGTTGGGGTCAAATATTCTGAAGCGGAGTCGTTCATTAGTCTCATACGTGACCTCCAGCTTGAGCTCCATTACATCGCCCGGGTAGGGGGACTGTGTTGACCTTTGAAGCACAGCTTCCATTCCGTGTGAGGTATTCTGCAATGATGTGACTCGATAGGAGTTGTTGTAGACCCGGGGATAGAAGCATGTTGGTACCCCCTGACCTACATTGGTGTCCCAGCAGCACCCTCGAGCCTCACATGCCTGCTGGACCGCGCCATTTGTCTCCGGCCAACAGTCGAAGCGATCCGAGTCGAATGTGACGTCACACTGAGGGGCACCCACAAGCACTTTAGGAACAGTAGTGTTCTGACTCGACGATTTCGATCCACAGTGGAAATAGTTCAAGAGGTTGTGAAACTGTGTCGGGTTTATGATGGAAAGTGTTCCGAGAGCAAACAGGGAAAATGTCAGCGTGAGGAGGAGGACGTCAAAGGTGAGTCCCCGTGACGTCAATCTCAGTCTTCTCCGAGATTTGGGGAGAAAAACGAGCATCTTTTCTTCTTTCCCTCCCATGTCAGTATATCTGTGTATACTGAAGTGTACAATGACAATGTTATATTGCTGAGACGATGGCCTAGAAGATTAAATATGTTATCAATTGATTAAATATCGTCATGTGATCACTGATATGAAAGTCCTATCAGCCCACACAAACAGCCTTGAACGTCCATGCGTGTGCCCTTTACTTTGTCATGGAGCATTCAGCAGAATTCCAACTGTATTATGTCAGCAGATAAGTAAACCAGTAGTGACAAGGAAAACCAGTGACGAGGAGCAACTGCAACTATCAACATCAATGAAGTAGAGGGGCACACAATCAGAAATATCCCAGAGCCTTGCCACCCGATCCCGAGTTAAGTTGGCTCTTCGAGTGAGTGAGTGAGTGAGTGACCGAGTGAGTGAGTGACCGAGTGAGTGAGTGAGTATGGTTTTACGCCGCATGTAGCAATATTCTAGCACGACACAAGAAACGGGCTTCACACATAGTACCCATGTGGGGAATCGAACCCATGCCTTCGGCGAGACGAGCAAACGCTTAACCCACTAGACTATCCAACTACCCATGACCCATGACAAGTATGGCATACCTGATACAGAAAATACATGCTCAAACAGAAAGAATCATGGAATCCCATGCCGCACACTGAAGCTAGTTAAAACATGGTTATCATTCGCTTCTGAAGGGTCATCAGTCAAATAGCTCTGACATATACAGATTCGTTACCCTATGCCAACATACAGGATCAGCTTCAACCAGAAGCCTTTATATCTGGAAAAAAAATATAGTATGTTACACGTGAAGCATGACAGTGCTTAAAAGGTCACTCTGTACATCGAGAGCTGAGTAAGGTAAATCAAACACCAGCTCGTGTATTTAATGTTTGTTAAACGTAACGCTTTTATCCAAGTGTCCGCGACCCAAGCATACCGTACCCTCAAAATCAACACAGACCAATCCACCTTTGGCGCTTAGTTCTATTTAAGAGTCAAACCCCATAACTAACCACCCAAAAAATAAAAATACTTTAAAAAAACAGAACAATATGTAAATAGGTTAAAAATATCCACATAAAATTGACTTGAACATATTAACATGCAGACGATGTTACTTTATAAATAGACAAATTGATGGGATTTTCAATGTATCATTATACATTTTCAGAACGCCGGTTGGTTTTATAAATGTTTTGTTCACTGTAAATTTTGAACTTAACGCAAGATTATTAATGCGAAAAATGCGAATGGTGTTTGCCCGCATTAATTAAACTTCACCTTTATGTCTCGAAATTGACTGTCGAAATCAGGTACTCCCCTTGTATCGAGGTGATAACGAACTTGGTCAATAAAGATGTGCAATTAAATGTGAGAGTGTGTGTGAAATTTGTTGGCATGAATTCTTGCACTCTTGAGCGAGCGAGGTCCAAGAACACAGATTCAGAACCGCCCAGAAAGTTAAATGACGTCTGATGGAACACGTGGGTTTTTCATGAACATGTCCATGACGTTCGGTGTTGTCAGCTGAACAAATATGCACTCGACTTGTAGTGTAGCCAAGCTTACTTTACACATATTGAATTCAGCCTTCAACAAGGACGTGGAGAGACATGGGTGTCACTCCTTACATAGTAGTGAGAAATGCCCTATAAAAGTATACTGCTTTCACAGCGAGGGTTTTGTTGATCGATGAAGAGGGGCCAACGATGTGGCTGCATTGTGGATTAGTTGCGTTTTTGGGTAAGATGCTATTTTATTTCATTATTGTATTCACAGTAAAATGTTTGATTATTGAAATAAGTGAGTAATATTGAATTAATTGTTATTGTAGTTTACAGTTTGTGCTTTTCTCATTTTATTCAAGTATTATCGCTCGGGGAAGCTTGTTTGGGTGTATGGAGTTCTAAACGTAACACTCATAATATGATTTGGTAACATGGTCTGGCGACATGGTCTAGTAACATCGTCTGGTAACATGATCTGCAATTGGGTCTGTAAGAAGCTCTCTTAATATTATTGCAACATGGCTTGGTAAGTTGGACTGGTTTGTTAACATGATCTGTAACAAGTTGTGGTAACAGTGTGGTTACATGATCTGGCGACATGGTCTGCAATTTGGTCAGGTAACAATGTCTGGTGACAAGATCTGGTGACAAGATCTGGTGACAGGATCTGGTAACAAGGTCTTAATAAGGTCTGGTAACATGGTATTTACAAGGTCTGGTCACAAGGTCTGGTGACAAGATCTGGTAACAAGGTCTTAATAAGGTCTGGTAACATGGTATTTACAAGGTCTGGTCACAAGGTCTGGTCACAAGGTCTGGTAACAAGGTTTGGTGACAGGATCTGGTAACAAGGTCTTAATAAGGTCTGGTAACATGGTATTTACAAGGTCTGGTGACAGGTTCTGGTAACAAGGTCTGTTAACGTGGTCTAAACAATGTCTAGTAACAAGGTCTGGTCACAAGGTCTGGTCACAAGATATGTTAACAAGGTCTGGTGACAAGGTCTGGTAACAAGGTCTGATAACATGGTATTAACAAGGTCTTGTCACAAGGTCTGGTGACAAGATATGTTAACAAGGTCTTAACAAGGCCTGGTAACATGGTCTTAACAATGTCTAGTAACAAAGTCTGGTGGCGAGATCTGGTTACAAGGTCTGGTGACAAGATATGGTAACAAGGTCTTAACAAGGCCTGGTAACATGGTCTTAACAATGTCTAGTAACAAAGTCTGGTGGCGAGATCTGGTTACAAGGTCTGGTGACAAGATATGGTAACAAGGTCTGTTAACATGGTTTTAACAAGGTCTGGTAATAAGGTCTGGTGACAAGATATGGTAACAAGGTCCGGTGTCAAGATCTGGTAACAAGACCTGATAACAAGGTCTGTTGACAAGATATGGTGACAAGGTCTGGTTACATGATCTTAACAAGGTCTGGTCACAATGTCTGGTGACAAGATATGTTAACAAGGTCTGGTGACAGGATCTGGTAACAAGGTCTGGTAGCAAGGTCTGGTAACATGTTCATAATAAGGCCTGGTAAAATGGTCTTAATAAGACCTAGTGACAAGGTCTGGTAATAAGGTCTGGTGACAAGATATGGTAACAAGGTCTGGTGTCAAGATCTGGTAACAAGACCTGATAACAAGGTCTGTTGACAAGATATGGTGACAAGGTCTGGTAACATGATCTTAACAAGGTCTGGTCACAATGTCTGGTGACAAGATATGTTAACAAGGTCTGGTGACAGGATCTGGTAACAAGGTCTGGTAGCAAGGTCTGGTAACATGTTCATAATAAGGCCTGGTAAAATGGTCTTAATAAGACCTAGTGACAAGTTCTGCTAACAAGGTCTGGTGATAGGATATTTTAACAAGGTCTGGTAGCAAGGTCTGGTGACAAGATATGATAACAAGGTCCGGTAACATAATAACCTTAATAAGGTCTGGTGAGAAGTTATGTTAAAAAGGTCTGTTAACATGCTCTTAACAAGGTCTGGTAACATGGTCTGGTAACATGGTCTTACCATGGCCTGGTAACATGGTCTGGTAACATGGTCGTAACACGGTCTGGTAACATGGTCTGGTAACAAGGTAATGTAACAAAGCCTGGTAACATTGTCTACATAAAGTCTGGTAACATGGTCTTAACAAGGTATGTTAACATGGTCGTAACACCGCCTGGTAACAATACGATCTGGTAACATGGTCTGGCGACATGGCATCACAATGGGGTGAAGCTGCACGTTTTGGCAACATCGTCAGTACCTCTGTCACGGTCGTCTAACAGATTACTCTGGCAATGTACTGTAAACGGATGGCTCCAATCATCCCACGCGCCGGTTTTTGCTGTGCAGAAACCTAAGATCATGGGTTCGAATCCCAGATTATCCCCATATGACGGCGGTCTGCAAATAATCGAGTCTGGACCCGACAATCCAATGATTGACATCACGAGCATTGATCCACCCGATTGGGATACGATGACATGCATCAACCATTCAGCGAGCATGACTACCCGATCCCGTTAGTCGCCTCTTACGACAAGCATAGTCGCTTTTTTTACGGCAAGCATGGGTTGCTGAAGACCTATTCTACCCCGGATCTTCACGGGTATGATCCCAATGAATTGTTCGAAGTAACGAATCATAGGTGGAAAGTAATGCTCATCTGTATGTGTAAATTGACTTACCTAACATGAATCAGAGGTTCCCGATTCAGAAGCTATCATAAACTATCCAACCATAATGGTATAACAACAACAAAATACAATGAAAAACATTTTTATTTATCATCACTGAGTAAATGACAAATTGTAAGTAAATTACGAACATAAAGAACTGGGTAACAAACACACAAGTAAAACGTTCTAATGATCCATGATCGAATCATTTGACAAGTGACAGTCCGGCAGATTTCATTAACTGTCAAAGCTGCCAGCACCGTGTGGATTTCACCAATCAGAGCCTCACTTACCATGAAAGTGACAGTCGGAATGTGATTTCTAATCACGCAACCTCGAAAGGCTTAACACGGGGAATTCCGAACGACAGTTATGGGCTTTACGACTGAATCTGTCAAAATCATCGTCTATCTCTTGCTTAAATAGGATAAACATTTAAACGGAAGCGACCTCGTGGGAAGTACTGATATATCTATTTGCCATCCCAGAATGTTCTTTTGTTCAGTTTTCAAATCTTGAATCGAGAAATTGTCAAAATAGTTTTCAAAGCGTTGTAGTCAGTTTGTAGCCAGCTCAAGAAATTTGACCTGTAATGGGATGTCCTCAGATCTTTGTTTTTGCGGTAGCGAGAACAGACATCTGATTTTAATGAGATTGGAGTTTCAAATATGTGGTAAACGTCTGACCCCTGCATCACTTCGGGCTTTCCTCCCACACTAAGCTGAGTAGCCGTGATAGAACTGGAATAATGTCTAAACGGCGTTAAACCCAACTCACTCACTCACTCACTCATTATGGTTCGTAGGCCCACTCATAGTACGGTTATGCTTTAATAAGCCCATCACATTACTTCAATACCACATAGAGACTAAGTAATTAATATTTATTGTACGGACCAGTGGCCGGGTCTTCATTACTGAAATTTAGTATCATTGTTTCAGCTGCAGTGCTGCAACCCTCTGGTGTAGATGTGGTTTCAATAACTAAACGGCAGGCTGGGACGCCATGGTGGCAGGGTTTTTACAACCTGAGATCCAGTCCTTCTGGGGCGCGAAGCACTGAGGACATCGATGGAAAAGTTGACAAACTGAACAACGGTGACTATGTCAGTGGCAGCAGCAACAATAGCGACACCGCTGACTACGACAGCACTGATGTTGACAACGCGAACAGCAGAAGCAACAGTGATATTGACAACGTGAACAGCAGAAACGACAGTGACGTTGATAAGGTGCAGAGCAAATACGACAGTGATGTTGACAACATGAACAGCAGAAACGACAGTCATGTTGACAACATGAACAGCAGAAACGATACTGATGTTGACAACGTAAACAGCAGAAACGACAGTGATGTTGACAACGTAAACAGCAGAAACGATACTGATGTTGACAACGGGGACACCAACAAAAGCAGCAAAGAGAGTATACGCCCTAAAAGTGTCAGGCGTAAAGGAAAAAGTTACAGGGGTAGTCGTATCCTAAGGACGTCACGTGTCCTAAAGACAAACAGCGTAAGACAACGCGCATCTGGCAACAGAAAGGTTCCAAAGGCAGGATCTGTGTCCAGGACCACAGCACGGACCGTACGGAGGAAAGGATAAACACGGGCGAAAACTGCCAACCAAACTGTCCTGCAAAGTTTGAACTTTGTATAAAATAGCTTTCAGATAAATGGACACAGTCGCCCCGTTTTTCTTTATCGTAAAATGTCAATCAGTGGATTGTCTGGTCCAGACTCGATTATTGACTGCCGTCATACAGCTGGTATTTTGCTGAGTGCTGCGTTAAACAAAAAAACATCATATATTGTAAAGCATGATGGGCGTTTCCCGGGAATTTGTTTATTTTCATGTCAATAAATTCAGTGTATAATGTTCCTTTCTGAGTATCCTTTAAAATGTGATTCAGCGGCAGCATATGTCCCAAGGACACTTGCTTGTCAGAAGAGTCGTTGTTACGCACTGGGCAAGTAGATAAGACGTAAGTCAGGCCACATAAGGCCCCGAATAGCCCTCATTTCGCTCTTATATCTGATAAAGAGAATCATTTCGTTATCAAACACCATTAGCTGAAGGTTTTATACCATCTTATAAACTTGTCATCCTATTGTTTTAAAGGTTTCTTCGTATTGGAGAAAACACGCTCACGAGGTTTTGGTAGACAGATCATGCCCTGGGGGTCGGGAAAAACCGCGGGGGCGCGGTTTTTCCCGACCCCCAGGGCATGATCTGTCTACCAAAACCGAGGGAAAGTGTTCTTCCATGCTTATAAACCGAAAAAGAAACTTAAAACAACATTTATCAACATTTTTATGTTTCGAACATACTTTCCATGAACCTTAGGAAACGCGCGTAAAATATCTGTTGCTGGCGTACGGATCTTGAAAAGGACATTCTAAAAACCAGTGTGGCTTATGACGCCTCTGTAGCCTCGTGGTACACTCACTGGGCTACAGATATGAAGGTTGCGAGTTCGGTCCTCGGGAATATAAAGAAAACGTTTGTCATTTGATTTTACATTTCATTACATGTTACAATCTGAACGGAAGTTATATTAATAAAATACCCAGGACATTATATAAAATCCCAAGGACATTACAACGTCCCTGTTTATGAGATTTAACTCGACTGGAAAGTAAAACCTCACAACAGGTTTTAATGCCTATAGAAAGAAGTCACTTACTTTATAGCGATCCCAATCCCAAGGTTTATAAGAATAGTTGAAAGCCTCCAAACACAGTTGCTAGTATCCATGCCAACGGCAATCTGGAAGAATGCGCTCGAGTTTCTAACTTCACTGATGAGGTTTACATCACCAAGGATCTAAACACATTTTTTGAATAAGTATCCAATATTGATTATTGATGGGTTAATATTCACGATTTGTACATGAACAATCCATGACGGGAATCGACCCTGCAACATCATGTTCAGTATCGTAACCCACTGAGACAATGGGGCAGGTGATGATAGGGAAATGTTAAAATGTTATGACTTCGTTTGTCTGGTTTTTATCTCACCAACTGTCTTTGAATTTCTTTCATACCGCGACTACTGTATCCCAATGTAGTTTTTTATTCTTTCTGGCATTTCTTGCATTTCTTGCGCTTCATAGGTTAGTTTAAATATAAACTGTCTATGCAAGAGAATAACCTGCATGATAATCTGCATTTGACGTAAAGGGGAGGGGGTGGCACGGGTGGCACGGGTGGCCCAGTCGGCTAAGGCTCCGCGATTCGCTGTGCAGATATGCTCCCCTTGGGCTCGCCAGAACCCTATGATTTGGGGTTCGAATCCCGGTTCGCCCAGATTATGTTTCTAGGTTGGTCAGCACCATACCCGTGCTCGTGGGTTTCACCGAAGTGGTAAACGTCTAAGACCTGCATCAGTTCGGGTTTTCCCCCCACATTAAGCTGACACGCCATGATATAACTGGAATACTGTTAAAAGCGGCGTTGAAACCCAACTCACTCACGTAAAGGGCAAAATAGCTGTGAAAACTATATGCTACTTATAAATAAAGAAAAACGTTTAAGAAATAGATTTAATCTGTTGGAAATGTAAACACCAAAGTAAGGAAAATCCCTTTTCCCCTGCTCGCGGTTTTACCTTTTCAACCAAAACCTCACGTGTATAAGATAACCTATGTACATCCACCCCGGAATCAGCCTGAAGGCGAGTTGGACGCAAAGAATACAGGTACATAAATCGTGCTAACACTATATTTATGAGGGAAGGTGGTGCCTTGGTGGGTCAGCAAAATGTTAACATTATAATAGAAATACATCTTGAGGAAAAGCAAATGTAAGAAAAATGGGGTTACAGTTTCACCAACTTTAACAATCCGATTTTAGTTATTCATTTGCACCTATGAAATATACCATGTTTATCAGAGCTGTTAGAGCGAAGAATGTGATGAATGAAATCAAGTTCAACCTTTGTACTATTTCGTCACAGGCGTCTCTTGTTTTGGCTGATATTTCATTGGTTCCATTCTTTGGTTCATGTTCAGCATTTTCCACTCTGCCATTTGTCCCATTAACACATCGCAGCCATCTTGGAATGCCCTTCCCACTCTTCAGGTGAGTGTGAAGTGCCAGCATGAAGATTATGACAAAACATGTTAGCGTGCTGATCAACACGAGCAGTGTGACATAGACACTGAAGAAACACAGGTGGTCGGAGTTCGCTGGTAGGTAGGAGTTGATGAGCGTGAGAAACACTGCATATGACAACAGGATGGAGACACACAGGGACATCTTCTCTCCGCTCTCCTCGGGCAGCAGGAAGACGAAGGTGTTGAGGAAGGACAGGAACACGACGGGCAGGATGTTGTTGAGGATGTAGAACATAGTTCGTCTCTGCAGGGTTAAGGTCGCCGTGGCTGGGGTCTGATTCAGCCCTTTGACGCTGAAATCTTTCAGCGCGAATGTCGCTTCTACAAGATCCCACTCTCCATTTTCCTCAAACAATTGAAGATCAACATTTGGGGTATGCACAATGACATCTTCTCCGCTATACGCGGTCACAGAGGCAGACATGCTTATGAAGCATACCTGCTGATCAAAGGGGAACTGTTTGATGTTTACCTTGCAGCGAGTATCTAGTCGACCATTGTAGGTATACGAAACATACCCACTGTTGTGCACGATGGCCTTGTCCTCCTTATCTTTCATGTTTTTCACATCCGACACTGTGTTGTGGAATTGAATAGATGGCGACCAAACATCACTGATCTGTAGAAATAAACTTTCTGGACTGTCATCTGTTTTGTTCCATTTTAGGAAACGATCATACCACACCGTATTTAACCACACTTTTGTGCTTAAGATTTCATCCTTTTCTTCAAGGCTGAATATGGACACTAAGCCTAAGGTCACGTTAATAGTTGTTACTTCAGAGCGTTCGATCACTGGGCGGACCTTTGGGTCATAGAACTTGGTTAGATTGGAGATAAAGTATTTATCCTCGTAGGAGTTGGCCGAAAGGACATTGATAGGCCAGCAGGCAACAAGAAGCGAAATGCTTGCAACATGTACGACTACTATGTTCATGGCGATTGTAAGGGAGTTGGGGAATGGGGTGGTGGTGTCTTCGAAGAATTAGTGTAACCTCGGTTACACATTAGGTCGGAGTTTCAATTTTATCAGAACCTGACACTGCATGACAATGTCATAGACTCAATACAACATTGATAGGGTTAGGATTCGAAAGTCATACATCAACACTTGGTCACAGAGTTGACATGAAGGCTCCAAAATAAGAGTTCCAAAGCCGATTTCAATATCAAATCACATTATAGAATACACATCTTCAGAAGAAAGTAAGAACGCCAATGTAGGATTTCAACACTAATAGAACCAATATTACCAAGTTTGAGCTCCAGGATGTTATTTCAAAAGTAAGTCGCAGCATAAACTTCAAACCCCATTTCCTCTCACCTCACACAACATAAACCTTTTGTAGACACCCTGTCTGAGATCCAAGTTGCACATCAACACGTTGCAATTCACAGCATATCAGTTCTTAGACTTCAACTCTACGTCACAGTAGAAGTACGCAGACTTAAGCACAAAGTAGTTCCAACGTAGTACATCATCACTATGCCATAGCATCAACATGACGTAGTCATTTAGTCCGAGGTCAAAAGTAGTGCATACAAAGTCACAGAGCAACAACAATATTCACAGAATTTGAAGCCCACAGTTCGACTACGAGGTAGATTTTACCATTGATCAATACCTCATTGAACACAGGATCGAAGGATACACTTAGGTCGTAATACATTCAGCCTGTATCCCCGTCTGTACTGTTCACAGACTTTCATCACATTAACTGGAGACCTACCGCCCTTCAGTCCTAATAATTCTAACCAGGTACCTTCTCTCATGAGGTATCCATAAAATTATTCTGCAGTAAACATTACCATTTTAAGGTATTTTTGTTCTGTAGTCAGTGATTGATGATATACTCCGCTCGGGCCGCGGTTTATCGATTTTCGGCCCCTATAGAGTGTTCTGAGCACACAGTATTGATTCACTCTGAGTTGTCACCCAGTCGCAGGATATTTACAACAAAACGTTTGTTTAAATTGGCAGTTTTCCATAATACTCGAAACAAATGCTGGCTCGTTTTACGCTCAACAGAATCTGTTTGGAAAGATAATCAAAATAAGTTATTGGCAAAGATGTCATAGAAAGTCATAGTCATGGTAACAAGTTGATACACTATATTTCTTTTTGAAAAATAACGGCCAAAGCAGCAAGTTTCATGGAAGTATGAGGTTGATCAGGGTATCGAATAATCTATTCATTCTGTGAGTAAGTTGTGAGTGCAAGTCAACCCTATTAATGGTAATTGATGTCACAAAATACCTCTAATGTTAGCACTGGATAGTTAGCAACAATAATGTCCCTGTGTGCGTGACAAAAGCTTCATTGTGTACCATCCATCCCTATGAAGCGAAAACAAAGCCGGGAATACGTGTGTGATTGTTCCTCCTAAATAATGACTCTTTATCTAAATATTTGTTCATAAGAGGGTGTGTTGCTGTGAACATATAGCTTTCTGGTTCTATTAATGTATTTGACTTCCCTTTCATGTGCGAGTTTGAAAACAATAAGTGGTTGATGATTTGATCCTGGGTACTTCGCTGCAGTAACACCATGACAACGTCGCCGTGGACACTGTACTCGCAGACTACATACAGAACTGTTCAATATTGACGATTTCAGCAATATGTGACTCCATGCAGTATCATCTTAAGAAGTTCGTCTTTACAATGCTTGAATGTGTTAATTCTCAACTTTACTCACTGTGTCTACATATGCAGTAATACATCATCTTCTGGGCAATGGACATTTCTACATTCACAAAAAACGACCACGTCAAACGTTTTACAAATCAGAAAGGAGGCATGAGAGTGGCTGAGTATGCGCTTCCTTGAAGCTTGAAGAACTTTGACGTATACTTCTTTGTGTTACAGTAAGTGTGTACAACTAGTCAATTAATTCACCACTTATTGTTGGATTACCATGGCATCAGAACATTTCCTTTTGTCCCTATATATCATATGTATGATAACATTAACGTCTGCTTCGTACAAAGAAAAGGCTTTCCTGGTAAATCTGACCAAGAACTATGACAAAACACTTCGACCTGTCTTCAAAAGATCCGACAAGCTGATTATCAATGTCAATGTCGGTTTGTTGTCAATCGTAAGTCTCGACGAGAAGCGAGAGACTCTAAGCTGGAGGGGTTGGGTGACTATGTATTGGCAGGACAACTACCTCAATTGGAACCTGACAGATGACACTCCAAATCTGTTATACCTTCCTGTAACCGATATATGGACTCCGACCTTGTATCTGACCAATTCTGTTACGGATCAGAAATACTTGATTGATAAAGAGGAAAGGGCGGTTATATCAAACACAGGTCTCACTTTCTATACGTTCACTGGACGCCTTGACACGCAGTGCAAAATAAACATAGGGAAATTCCCGTTTGATATTCAAGTTTGTAAAATCAGCATATGTCCCTTTCATTCGGAGCTGAGTGGGGAGTATATAGCTGTGGGGTTCAATTCAGTGCTGTTGGACATGTACGAAGAAAATGGCGAATGGATCCTTCTTGATTCTAAGTTGAAGGTAGGTGTTTTACATTTGGCTGGATCTAAGATTGAAACAGCTGTGGGAACTCTGACTTTGCAGAGACGAACAACATTCTATATCCTCAACAACATCCTGCCTGTCGTGTTCCTGTCCTTTCTCAACACCTTCGTCTTCCTGTTGCCCGAGGAGAGCGGAGAGAAGATGTCCCTCTGTGTCTCAATCTTGTTGTCATATGCTGTATTTCTCACGCTCATCAACTCCTACCTACCCGAAAACTCCGACCACCTGTGTTTCTTCAGCGTCTACGTCACACTTCTCGTTTTGATCAGCACACTCACGTGCCTCGTCACAATCTTCATCCTGGCGCTCCACAGCCATCTGCAGAAGGTGAAGATCGCCCCAAGATGGCTGACCACCCTTGCTGGATTTAAATCAAATGCTGGAACATCTTGTGAAATCCCCTGCCAAGTTGGGATGATCAGAGATCGGATAATAAGAAGATGTAATGTTTTGGCTTTCATAATATTTTTCTCGCTTATATGTTTAAGCAACTTCATTTTCTTCATTGCAGTGTATGTCTAGTCCATAGTGCTTGTATGCTTGTTATCAGTAGTTGAAATATGTGCTTCATTACGTGTAAGGTCCTAACATTATGGGTTGTATACAACAATGACCTTTATGTCGTAATTGGCCAAATTGCATTCCAAGAAATGTAATGTGTGTATTGTTCAATCTGGTTTGGCTTATTGAGTTTTGATTTATACCGCCGAAATATAACTGCGTTATCACGATGGATGACAGTGGAAGTGAACTGCAAAGGTCTACCAGAATAATTATGGATATACACTAACATATCCTCTTTTAGGTTTGACCATCCATGGACATTCAAGTTAAATGTTCCCAGTAACCTACGATATATGACCTGGATGATTGACTGCCATATTTCCTTGAGGGTGCATGGATCCTTGGTCATACTATCAACAGCTTAATTTCAGGTTTACCATGCTACAGTTGTAGTATTAGCGGCACCCCCTTATTAAATACAACTATTATTGTTTTGCTGTTAGTCATTTGCTGTTTATGTGTACAACATGGTTAATTGTTTCACCAACATCTGTGACGTTTTGTACAGATGTCGCTCTCTGTGATATCTGCTTGCAATGATACTTTTATAATAGCTTATTTGTATTTTGCGATTTTCCTCAAAATTGTCTTTAATATGGATATGGAAAGGGATTTGTCGCTTTATTTACCCTCTTTTACATAACAGGGAAATGTCCTTACCCAAACCTGTCAATTGTATAGATGTTTGCGTACGTGAGGTTGGGTTTAACGTCGCGTCCAAGATTATGCACTTATATAGCGACGTGCATGCACGTGTGTGGCTGCTTGTACTAGTCCGGACTGATGCCGATTTATAGTGCTAGCTCACTGAGATACCATGCCGCAGTTTAACATGAATACCCCACTCAGACACAGTATACGGACTCCAAGCCGACCAGTCCTTGTTTTAGCCCCTTAATGCCGAGCGCCAGACAGGGTAACATCTTTTAACGTCTTTTGGCATGACGCGGCCGGGGATCGAACCCCGGACCTTCCGCTCTCCGGGCGGACGCTCTACCACTAGACCACGGAGGCGGTCACTTACGTACGTAATTCAAAAATTGGGACAAAATCACTGTATTTAGTCTTGACACAGTGTATCCATGGAGATGTATTTAATGTACTTAAATGTATGTATAGCAACGTCAAAGCTTCTGTGAAGCTAAGTTCTTCACATTTTACCGATTTATTTGACACCTCATGCGGTGTTAGACAAGGATATATGCTTTCACCGCTACTGTTTTTTATGTACATAGGCGAACTAGTAAATGTTATGAAGAGTGATGACACTCGTGGTATCTTCTGTGATATTGATGAAATATTTTTGCACTTATTTGCAGATGATGTGTCCAAACAAAATAACTAGTTTAGAAAGATACTGCTATACATGGGGACTAACAGTAAACAGTCATAAGAGTAGTGTCGTTATGGTATTTAAAAATGGAGGGCCTCTATCACAACATGAAAAATGGTATATTAATGATGAACAGCTTGAAGTGGTGTCATACTATAAATATTTTGGTTTTCTAATTTCATGTAGAAATATGTTTACTCAAGCATGTGTTACTTTAGCTAAACAGGCAAACACGGCTCCAGTTCCAATTAAAAGAATGATGGGAAAATATCCAGACGTAAACGTTGATACATAGTTTAAAATATTTGATAAAATACATTTTAGCCATTTTGCAATATGGTGCGGAAATATGGTGTACAGAAGTAAGAAAAAGCATTGAAAGTATACATACTAAATTTTGTAAATCTACTTTGAAAAAAAGGATACAAATCTTCAAATACTGAAGTATTAGGTGAACTTGGAAGAACGAGAATGTATGAACATG